CTTGAGAATGCAGAATTCCCAAACAAAATGGCATTACTCCACATCTATGACAATTTTTTGAAAAGTTTGTTTGACAAAATACCTTGTTTAGTCAAGGTTGCATCAAATGTTGATTAGTGCTTTGAACTCTTCTGCTGTTGTCCCTGTGTTGTTTTTTCATAAAGTCATGCTGACTGTATCATAAGGTTTAATAAAAGCATCTCTTTTCTGAGTTGGAGAAACTGATTGGCAGGAAGGTTCAAACTGCAACTGGCACATGCTTATCTGAGAGGAGATTCATGAGTTTGAATTCTTCAGATTCAGAAGGCATGAAATCCTAGCCTCTTAGTTCTGTAGTTTCCCTTGTCCAGTAATGCAATATTGATAATGAAGAGGTAAATTTTAAATTGTGTACTGCAATGGAGGGTGATATTCAGCACTGGGTGAGAAACAGTGTCTCCCTGCTTCCTCAGAGGTCAACTCCACAAAGAGCATCTCCCAGTTCATGAAGAACTCTTTTCATATTTACTCTCCAAATTACCATATTGCCCGGCACTTTCCTTTTAAAGGATTGTCAACATTTGTCTTAACTATGGAGCTATTATGTAAACAGCATGGTCTTTCTTCAGCAAAGCTTTTAAGAGAGTCACTGTAATAGCTTTGTGCATGGATCTCAATTTCTTACGACTACGATGTGTACTCTAGAGCTTGCCTATTGAATGTGCACTCCCAGTACCTAAGCAAAGGAACCTGTGGTTTCTAGATTCTTGGATAGATTTCAGTGGTAGCGAGGCTATAGCTATCTATTCTAAGACAGTCAGGCTATGGATAGAAGCAGGACGGAAGGTGCTTGGGGAAACTATGGGGGAGATGACTGGCTTTGAGAATATTCAGGTCTAGAGCTCTAAACTTAGCTGCTCCTTAGAAGTAGCGACCTTTGTATAGCCAGCTTCAAACACTCACTGAATTGAATGACTGCGAGGTAAGTAAATTACAATAGGGTTATTATTGTACTAGAGATCACATAATGCAGTTTTTGTGCAGTTTTTTAAGTTATAACAACATTGTGGTGGTACTGATTCTTGGTAATTATTTAGGAGCGTGTGTGCTAAATTAGCACTTTCAGACACACAAAGGTAAAAATCCTAAGTTCATTTTTCATGTGGGTTTACCTTATTTTTGTGTGTTAATTGTTCTCTTTTTGGTAGTCTGATTTTTTTTTAATCCCCATTCTCTCCTTTTTCATCATGTTCATGTTGAGTTTTTCAGTGTAGCAGACTACAAGACCTAGTTTTTGGTAGATAAATATCATTGTCAGATTGGATTCAACTGTTATGGGTAAAAACAGTTCACTGATTTTTGAGGAATTTCAGTCAATTAAATTTATTGTCAGTTATCAAACCTCTAATTACTGATTCTGATACTGAAAGAAAACAAACACTTAAGGAATAAAACACCCCTTGCCACTGCAAAACCCCTCCTTTCCCCTCTTTGTTCTCCAGTGCCCTTGCTGCAGGCTGTGGGCAGCGCCGGAGATGGGGGTCCGTTTGCGGAGGCCCCTCCACCAGTAGCGCTCCGGGGAAGGTCGTCCCTGCTGGCTGCCGCTTGGGCGGCTGCCCGGCTCCTGCTGGTGTGTGCAGCCCTTCGGGGTTCCAAGGTGCCTCCAGCCTGGCTGCCGCAGCGGGTCCATGGCTCCTCCCCACCTTCCCCACTACAAAAGCCTTGCCAGTGAGGCCCAGCGCAATCAGTTGATGCTAAGCTTCAACCACGAACCAAACGCAAAGCTAGGAATGACTGCACCCCAAAGTCTACGTGAAATCTTCTAGCAATTTATGCTGAGAGCACTATTCTACCGTGTTTCAAATAAGCGCTCAAAAAGGGCTGGTTTACTGTGGCAAAAACTAGAAGCCACTCTGTAGTTTTCTCTTACGCGAGACTGATCATATGAATTGTTGAACAAGCAGTTAGGAAAAATGTGTGTGCTTTTACACCATATAATAAATCACTTTTAGGCACATGTAAAGCATATGAGAAGTTGCCAGGTTTTTTCCAGAACATGGTTCCAATAGACAAAAAAGCTAGTGTACGTCACGCAGCCCGGTTTGGGCTTAAGACCACTTAAGTAATTTATTCATTTTAACAGCTACTGTAGTCTATTCTGTAATGAATTAAAAGGACCTCAGTTTGAAATCCAAAGAACAAGATAATGATGGTTACAGTAATTATTTTTACTAATTAATATTTCAGTTAAGGGCATGAAAAGGAGAGCGCTATGATGAAGAATAAGGCTTCCATTTGGCAGCATGTCACACGGGATTGTAGTGATTCCTTAAGACAGTAGACCTCAAAGGAACAGAGTTTTGCATTCAGAACAACTTAATCTTGGTTAACTTCGCTGTAAACAGTAACATAGGTTCTTAGCTGTTTATACATTTAGATGATCCACTGTCTACCTCAACTATAGCATCTATATGCTCTAGGCAAATCTCTTATTTTGTCTCCATTGAACTGTTGCTGGTAGTGATCTTCTCAATTCAATCCTTCAACTTTCTGTGCAGCAGGAGCTGGACTTTCCTATTTTCCTGTAACACAAGAGAAAAGAAATATCCCATCTTTCATTTCTGTTGTGTTGTTCCTAGTTCTTTTTCTTAATAGCTCACACCTAGAAAGCTTCAAATTTTCTTTCCATCTCCCAAGAAGTCTCACATACTTACTTTTCTCAGAAACGAAAGAGAAAACATCTTGAAATAATTCTGTTTTTCTTAGTTCTCCTCTTCTTTTAAGAAAAAAATAAACTGTGCTTAACCTAATCTTTTCTATGCAATGGATGAGCACTTAGACTTTCTGGTGGTCTACAATGACCAATTTCATCCTTTAACATCTTCTGGTTTTCATGTTTCAGACTAAAAATAAAAATGATTTTAAGGAAATCTCATGTAAACAAATCATCAAGATGGTAACTGTATTACATAAAGATGTTCACAACTTATTGTATGCTTACATCCATCACAAAGTTTCCTGAAGCAAGATATTTTATTACTTATGGTACAGAAGGGTATATTAGCTGTTAATAATGCCATATGTCACATCAGTGAAACTTAGCTTTTTGGCAATTGGAGTGATAATGTGTATTGAAACTGAAATTTTAGCGTGGTCTTAGTGGTTTTGTTTGCCTCTTTTTTTTTTTTTTTAATAACGTAGTCACATGAAATATGTTATTTTGTTTCTTCAGCTGACATCTGAAATGTTTGAAGCTGATCTTGAAAAAGCATTGCTGCTAAGCAAACTGGAATATGAAGAGCACAAAAAGGTATTTGCAGGATTCATCCTAATGTAAAAGCTGTACAACTTCAAGAGTTGAATTTTGAAAATAAAGCAAAAAGCCTCAAAAAAGTACAATTTTTTTCATGTAAATTGTTTGCTTACATTGTTCAGATGCTTAAGAGTTCAGAAATACTGGTTCTGAAAGAAACCCTATATAATTGGTTTTTTTTAATTGGCCTATAAAGGTGGAAAATTACTTCTACTTTTCCAATTTTCTGGCATGTAAATGTGCTGAAATTTTTTTAGGAGTACAATGAGAGATCTTGACCTTCCTCAGAAAAAATCCAGCACACTTGAAGTGTGAGAGAATCAAAGCACTGACTTCTCCTTAGGCCTTAAAGTGTTAGTTATGGTTGAATCATTTGCTTTTTTGCTAACATCTTGTCTTGGAGTGTAAATATTTTAGTTGTAATAAGCTGTGTACATTTTCGTAACTGGTCAGGATGCCGTTTTCTAAGTGGTTCTTACAGAACACTGAAGAATTGTTCTGAAAAAGTATGCTTAGATGAAATTTTTATTTCTAACAGGAAGTTGCTGCTTATTTGCAATAAATGTTATGAAATTAAATGTTATGAAAATATGTAAATTTAAACATAGTTATGCATCATAAAGAAATAAAAATTGCACGTGCACTGTTGTGCAAATCTCTACAATATTTCAGCTTTTGGTGGGGGGGAGTGCCATAGTTCTTGAGAATCAAGGATAAACTTCTAACTTCAATACTAAAAGTCCTTTTTTAAAGTGAAGACAATCTTCAGGCATAGTAGCATAGCATCGTTTGTAGACTTTTTGAGAATTACATCTGAATAATTTAAAATACATACTATATATTCAAAATATACAGCACGTGAGTATGCTGAACAAATGTTTCTATGGAAAGAAAAGCACTCCATTTCCATCTTTGCTTTCTATATAACAATTTTTTTCCTAAGATTATTTAACATTTTTTTTAATCTTAATTGAAATATTTAATTAATTAGTATTTAAGATTATTTTTAACAACTGGGACATTGATAATTTGTTAATGTTAATGTAGATGTGTGGGGAGGTGGGATGCTGGTTCAAATGGTTACCATGTACCAGGCTGTCTGATTTGAACAGGAGTAAGGTCAATTGGTAGAGCATTGTTGCACACTAATAGCTCTCTGACTTCTACTGAATGAGTAAGCATATTTTGAGAATAAAAAGAAGGTACAGTAGACCTCTGTTTTTTAAAGGAAGTGCTAACCTGTATTGTGTAGCACTCTGCCTTCCTGCGTTTGACTACCATATATTCTCAATTTATGAGTTTCTGGATAAAATTTGATGTAGGTGATTGAGGAAGTATTAGGCTGATAGTTCATTTGCTGTTTAGTGAAGAGCAATGCTCTACTTCAGAGAACAGAATCGATGCTTAATTGCTGGTATGTCTTGCACTCTTTAAACCAATCTGAAGCCTGCAAATTACTGCTCAGGCTAAAATCTCCTTTAGTACATTATCACAATTTTTTTTTCCTTTATAAAGCTTCAGGAAAAAATATTTGGGTATTGAAGAAAAATTACACCAGTGGGACTTTATTCTTCTAGGAATATGAAAACGTTGAAAATACTTCACCTCAGTCAAAGTCTGTGAATAAGAAAGAGAAAAAGAACCAGCAAGGAAAAGACAAACCTCTCACTGTGTCTCTGAAAGACTTTCAGTCAGACAGTAATATAGGTATGCCTTATCATACCATATGAGCTGTTCTACTTGGAATTTTCATAGTAGGTGTGCTAACAGCAAAATGGCCTTCTGTCTCTGTTCATTAATACTGTGTTTAAACAAACACTAAATGAGTTGCAGTTAGTGTGTCCTACCGAGTCTAAAAGCTAAGTGTTCATTATATAATAATGGGCTAGTTAGATTAGCAGGAAAAAAAGAAGAGGCTAAGGAAAACATAATTTCATATAGTGTCCCTGGGGTGGGTGGTGGACTCAAACACTCTTAATGTGACTTTTCTTTAAAATCTCAGTGGGTTTTTTTGCTTTACTAAGTTTACGCTCCTCAGGCAAGTGAGTTTCTCTGTTTCCTGGGTAATAGCAAGTCATTTTTTGCCTTTCTTCATGATACTGGCTTTTATTTAGATGAGTAAATATTGAAATAACTTACAAATACTCATTATATGCATTATTTATATGTTTAAAATTCCTTCATCTGTGTCTATAGAGCAGAGATTCTGAATTTTAGTGAAAAAATCAAGGTAGATGCTAGAAAAGGAAGAAAGTAATTTTTTTTCTAAGGCTTTTCTTTTAAGGATGTTTTTATCTAAATCTACAATATTTATTAAACACATCATTTCCAAATAATCTGAATAGAGAAAAAAGATTGAAAGCACAGCAATCTGGAAGGCATGGAAGGCATTCAGGTATACAGTGAGATACATTATAAAAGCCTAAATAGACTTAAAAAGAAACAAACCAACAAATTCCTTAAGTGTCTGTACCAAAGACATTGCCTTCCACTTTAACTGAAGCAAACAAATATGGGATGCTGCTTTTGATTAAATAGTCTGAAAGATCTGGGAGAAGATGCTAATACACGGATTGATGTAATACATAGTTTATAATCTTGGCTTCTAATGCTTCAGTAATGACTTTTTTATTGTGACTTTGAGAGGAGAGTTAATGTTGAAGAACTCCAACAGATGGGATTTTTCCCCCACTTTTCAAAATGTCGTTTCAGTAGCCAGTTAAACAAGATTCGAGTAATTTATTGATGTCATTTTTTTTCTATTCTTTTCAGATAATCTTGCTAAAAAACATGAGGTAAGTTTTATTCAAACCAGTTTAATAAAAAAAAACCCCTCTTATGTTTAAAAGGAAACTATTTTGGCAGTCATTTATACATTCTGAAACTGACTGATTTCCATTTGGAAAATTTTTACAGATGCAGATTTAATAGAGATGTATGTCTGCAGTTCTTGTATCTTGAGAACTTAGTATTGGCTTTCTTAGAACTACCTCTTGCTTCTTTAGTTTTCAGATAGTCTTTGATGCAACCTGCAGATTTGAAAGCATGTTAAAAAATACAAATTGTAGTACAAAAAAGGGAAGCAAATTAGACAAAGTACTGTGATCTACTATGTTGTCGTGCAGTCCACAAATACTAAAATTCCTAGAGGGAAGAACAGTTAACAGTGAAATAAAACATAAATTAGTGTAGTCATAGTGCAAAATTATTAAATTCCAACTTCATGCTTTTGTCTAATATAATTGGCTAAATGTTACCTGTTAATTTCTAGGCTCTTCAATGGGTATCATATTCTGTAGGTGGAAGTCACAGTATTCTCAGGATGTACAACATAAAAAAAAATCTAGATGTAATGCTTTTCCGTGTACTCGGCACTGGTGAGGCCGCACCTCGAATACTGTGTTCAGTTTTGGGCCCCTCACTACAGGAAGGACATTGAGGTGCTGGAGCGTGTCCAGAGAAGGGCAACGAAGCTGGTGAAGGGTCTAGAGAACAAGTCTTATGAGGAGCGGCTGAGGGAACTGGGGCTGTTTAGCCTGGAGAAGAGGAGGCTGAGGGGAGACCTCATCGCGCTCTACAACTACCTGGAAGGAGGTTGTAGCGAGGTGGGGGTTGGTCTCTTCTGTGAAGTAACTAGCGATAGGACGAGAGGAAATGGCCTCAAGTTGTGCCAAGGGAGGTTTAGACTGTACATTAGGAAAAATTTCTTTACTGAAAGAGTGGTCAGGCCTTGGAACAGGCTGCCCAGGGAAGTGGTGGAGTCACCATCCCTGGAAGTATTTAAAAGACGTGTAGATGAGGCACTTAGGGACATGGTTCAGTGGGCATGGTGGTGTTGGGTTGACGGTTGGACTTGATGATCTTAGAGGTCTTTTCCAACCTTAATGATTCTATGATTCTGTGATTCTATGACTTAAGCTATTTTTTAAACATGTTGATTTCTACCTCAATATTAACTTACCTGTAAAGGAAGATACGTTATAGTACTTATTTTTGACAGGAACCAAAGTCTTCCCAGCCTTCATTGCATGATGGAGGATTTTTCAACAGGCTGGAAGATGACATTCACAGAATACTTGAAAGAGAGAAAAGGAGAGTCCAGCTCACTGATTACAGTGAAACAGATAACTGCACATCTCATGAACACAACCAGGCATGTAAAACAGCAGTTGTTCTGAAGTGAAGAATTTTGCCTAATGAAGCTTACTCAGTGATCAGAAGGGAGCACCTGAGTAGAAGAAAGCACAAATCAAAAGCATGATAATCTTAAAGAATTTAAAAACTCACAACACTGTAATATTTTTATCTATCTGAAGAGATATTTAAATGACTTAATTTTTTTAAACATGGAACACTTCCGATTGAAATAATTTTTGCTCCACAGAAAATGGCAATATTTATTACTGCGTTTCTTATCCTTTTGGTATCTATGCACATATATTTCTTTAGTTTTGATCAAAAATTCTCTTCTCTAACAAACAAATAAGTTGCCTTTCCCAAGAATCGAATTCACATGACTAAATTACTAAGAAGTGATGTTTTCTTGCTTATAGGAGAGTGTTTTGAAAGATGGAAAAACAGACCGTCTAAAGCTCGAGCTTGAAAAGAAAGATGCAGAAATTGAGCAACTGAAAAATACAGTAACTCAGTGGGAGGTATGTAGCTGATAATACCTTCAAATAGTAGACAAAATTCAACATTATTATACATTTGAAACAAAGTATTTATTAAAATATGACCAATCTGCAGAGATGCTTTAGACTGGCTACAGATTATGTATTTACAGAGCAAATTATTCCTTCAGTACCACATGAAGTGGTCTTTCTTGGTAAGTAAGTTAAGAATCTAAAAACAATCAAAAGAATCAAGACAAAGCATCCAGAAATAAACATCGTATCTGGTATATCAGTCACTACTTGTTTTCTAGTACTGCTATTTTTATGGTCAAAAAAATAAAGATGCAGTCTAAGACTGGGCAAGATCTTGAGCAATCTGATCTGCCTTGGAAGTTAGCTCTGCTTTGAGCAGGAAGTTGGACTTTTTGGGTCTTTTCCAACTATTTATTTTTTAAATGCTACTCAGCTTTTCTTGCATTTAAGAACTACATATTGTTGGGATTTTTTGTAGATTCAGTCCAATATTTGAAGTGGTTAAAGAAATCAATGAGTATTTTGTCAGGTTTAAGAGAAGTTCCTTTAAAGATGCAGTATAACAAGAATGGAGTCCTGTATTTTATTATATCTTTTCCTATTACATACAAGTCAAATTGGAAATGAGATTCATCATATTCTAAAACACACCAGGAAAAAAAGATTCGCTCATCAATAATTACGTAGTATTGCTACATACCAGAGTAGCTAGGGAAAATGGCTCTGTCTCCCTGTTTTCGGTCCATGTTAGCATTGTCTGGATAGTATCTAGAACAAAAAGGGCAAAATTTCCATGAGGAACTGGCATTGTAACAAAATACAGTAAAGTGGCAAGGAATTATTTTAAGTGATTTTATTACTATTTTTATTCATTGCTTAAGGTAGACTGAGCAGGTTGACAGATTGGGAGTTTTCTGATGCTTCCAAGAAGTACTTCTACTTGTAGTAATAAAGACATGAACTTTGTTAACAGCTGTTTTCACTGTGTACTAAACTTGGAATCCCCAGGTGACATTTTAAAGTATAAAACCGTTCATGTTTACCACTATCAGCACTTGATTACATTTGACGGAATAAACACTATGCATAAGGATGCTGGTGAGGTGATGGATGGTGATACAGGTGTTTAATTTTATGAACTTGTCCAGAGACCTTAATACAGTTTTAGGTGGCCATGAAAGGTCTGGCTTAAATGTAATTTAATTATTCTCAAGGACTGGTGAGATACTTGAAGTGGTGGAAGATAGTAGCTTCTTTAATACAAAAGAAGTATGTCTGAAATTAAACTTTTTACAAGAGCCTACAAGAGCAAACTGCATGAAGAGACTTCTGATAGCAAAAACAAGTTTACAGCTAAGATACATGGCTAGAACTGACATTGGTAGCCAATTAAGGAAAAGACTGACTTAAGAAGAAAGTGTGGTGATATCAGCTGGATTGGAAAAAAACAGCAAAAATAGATTCTTGAGGAGTAAAATGTAAAAAGTTGAAAAGGAAAGAAACTGTAACGTAATAACAGTAACTGCTGAATAAAATAGTCTGTAGAGCAGCGGGGGTCTTGTCCTACTTGCCAAGTAATACGGCGAACTATTTATACTATCTTGGTATCTAGAAAGTGCATTTATAATTGTTGTAACTTTTCAGGTGAGAAACCAGAGAGCCCTAGGCCTAGGTACTTCAGGCAGACCTGAATGGTGGTTCCTGCACTATCAAGGCACTGACATAACTTTCTTATTTTAACTTGCTTTAAGCCCTGTGCTTGCCTTTTTTTCTCGACTCTCAGTTATCAATCCACTTCTGCTGTCATGTATTCCTTACTGTGGTTTAATTAAGACATAGATTATCTTAAAGGTCTTTTCCAACTTAAATGATTCTGTGATTCTCTGATTTGATTCTCTGCAGAAGTCGTCATTCTAAACTCTAAGTCTGACGCTTAGTCATGCTTATTTTACAGAATACTTTTTTTAGTAGGGTATACATGTGATAATTCAATCTCTTTAATACAGGCAAAGTATAAAAAAGTAAGAAATGCACAGCTTCTGAAGATGATGCGAGAAGGTGAAAGTAAGTAAGAGTTTTATCAGGAAACTTAAAAGTTCTTTTTAAAACTTGGAAGGAACTTTCAAAGCAGTTTTTTAAAAATAACTTGGCTCAGTGACAGCTATAAAGAACTAAGAAGCTATTAATTTGCAGTGACTCCAGTGAACTAGAGAATCTGGGGGACCACACAGTACTGCATTTCATGTAATGAAATAATCAGTTGCATGTTGAGATCATTCTTTGAAATATAAACTGTTCAGTTACGTTTTAGGTACAATGATTCTTCAAGTTGAACTTTCTTTTGCTAGTGACAGCTATCTGTTCTGGACTGATCTCATTGTAATATCTGTTTAGGCACATGTGAGGAAACTGTTCAGTTCTTGCGACTTTGCAAGCTGTGCTTTGAAGTGTTGGAAACATCATGCTACACCTAAGCGAGTCTTTTGCCACACAATGAATAGGGATAGCTAAACCACAGGATTATGTATGCAACTGTGTGATAATTTCCTTCTGTTATAACACTATTCAGAATTTTTATGATTCAGAGTTTGTTGTCAAAGTTTGGGGGAAAAAAAATACACACACTTATATATATGCAAATACCCTAGTATCTTTATACTCGTTATGCAGTTATGCTTTAATATTCCTAATCTTGTTTGATGAAGTTGTTTGAGTCTATGATGCTAGCCACACTAACTTCGTTACAAAATTGCCTTTGCTTTTCAGTTTCTTAATTTAGCTCTTGAATGTAGTTTCTTCTCCGGGCTAAATTTTCAGCTAAAAAAGAGCTCAATTTTTTTTCTGTAAAGTATGTGTACAAAAACTATATCTAAGCTAGTTCAAATGTTCATAATGTGATTGATCATTGCAAATTTTAACTTGGAACTTTATTACTTCAGGTCAGTGTCTGAGCCAAGATGAAATATTTTCATCTTGAGAGGAAAGAGGTGAAGTTCTGAAGGTTTTTTTCTTGTTTGTGGAATAGTAACATACTATAAAATGAGCAATTTTATGTTTTTCTACAGACTGAGTATTCTGTATTTTGAGGATAAGAAGGTTATGGCAGAATTGAATCTTGAAAAAACTTAATTCTTCATATTAAGAATTTTAAGTTATCCACAGATAACTTCACAGACACTAGCTAAGTAGTTTAAACATCTCCGTATTTGAGTAAAAAGAAGTTTCCGTAGCTATGACTGAGCTTGTATGTGAAACTTACGATCCCAAAATCTTGATCCGTTGTCAATATTCAGTTTCCTGATGGACTTTGTTCACAGTGGATATCTCTAAAATCCATGCTGCTTACAGGGTTAAGTGTGCAGTAAGTAGTGCAAGGTTGGGGTTTAATCTCCAGAACTTTTCAAGCTGCTACTAATGGCACTGGTAGCTAATGGTTGGTTTTGATTTACAACATTTACAATTCTTTTAGTGAAGGTGGCATTATTTAGAGATAACAAAATAGTGAAATAAAGCGATGTCACAGTGCTATTGCAGATGAAGACCTGTAAATCTAGAAGGATCCTCATGCTGTTATCTTTCTCTCTCTGTAGTGAAAGACAAAGCAGAAATACCCCTACAGGTTGATGAATCTCAAATTATCAAAAATGAATTGACCGAAGAGGTAAGCAAGCTTTTCTAAATGTAAAATTTCATGGGTATTTCAAAGATGCTATTTATTTAAGGCAGTGATAGAGGTGGGGGAGGGAGGAAGCTGAAAGAAAAACTTGTAAGAAGCAAAAAATGTTACATTTCATCCTTAGCCCTGCACTATGTGTGTCAGAGGATGTGTATTATGTAAATCTCCAGTATGACTCACTTAGAACTGTTCCTGGAAAGACAGCAGACCTCAACACGCCTGAAATGATTATGCCCTGAACAGCACCTTATATCATTCTCTAGTAACCCAAGCTAGGAAGCTCAGAAAGGTGCTTCAGAAGATGCTTCTTTCCTGTATGTGTGTTTGGTGTTTTTTTTATTTCTAGTCTCAAGTTTATCAACATAAGTGAGCTACAAATTACTTAAGACGTGTCAGTTGGCAAGTCACTGTAGTAGAGAGCATGCAAGACTTTACGCTTAGTTTTTGGTTTGCAATGACTATTAGTTCTAAGCCCTTGACTTGTCCAAATGCCTTACATATAACACAGTACTATTTTTTGAGGGTGATGTAATAAGCTTATCTGTGTTGCATAATACTGTATCAGTTAAGTGTTTTATGGAATTAACTAATGCAGAGTCCAAAAGTCGGAAGCGTTTCTAACTTTATAGCTCTTCTATATCATTACACAGGTAAACCAGTAAATGTTGCTTGGGAAATAGAAGTCATTAAAGAATACTTTACTTGTACTTTCAGTTCACGCACAATGATAGTGGTAGTCACTCTTGAACTCAGCATGTATTACCTGTTTGTCCAACGCAATACTAATGGAGAACAACATTGACTTGATAAACTCACAGATGTTAACGGTATTTTATAAATTCATATCCTGTATGTTTTAGGTAACTGTACTTCATGCTGCATTAGAGCGAGAAAGATCCAAAGTGAAACTACTGCAGGCAGAATTAACAAAATACAAGGTAGTTATTTTCTGCGTTTGTAAGCTTACCTGTTCTTGATGCAGTTGACACTATCATGAGGTAACGTGCTCTGAACTGACCTATTAGCTGTAATTTTTCCAGTTAAAAAAAATAGGGAAAAAAACCAGCAAGAAAACTAAAGCATAGTTTTGCCAAGTTGAAGTCTACTACCTGTTTTGTACTTTAAAACTTCTTGAAGTATGCTGGTCAATAAACACCAAGTTGGTTTAATTTTCTAAGTCTAACTGTGTGTAACTGGGCTAACTGTAGACTTCATGGCTTTTTTTGCCACATTCTTTCTTTGGTTCTGTATCTTAGTTCTGCCTAGCCTAATCTTTGTAGGAGATTCACAGCAAGTTGTGTCGAAATATGAGTGATAAGATCAGTGTCTTGCTGACTGCGCATATGCTGTTTTGTTCAACGTGGCTGCTAATATGCTAACTCATGTTAGTGAATTTCAGTTAATTTTTGCATAAATAGTATGCTGCTTAATATTCTGACTCTTTTTTTTAAAGAGTGACAGTATGTGTGAATAAGGATTTGTACTTGTGCATGACTTGACACATTTTGGGGGTATCTTTGGTTTTGGTGGGTTTGGTTTAGTTTGTTTGTTTTGACTGTGACCTTTTGCATAGGTTACAAGGAGAGCCTGTAGTATATAATGGAAACTTCTAAGGTAGCCGTCTAGTCTTTGGCAAGCTATCCTATTTCAAGTTGCAACACACTGTTTGTGTTGGAATACAATAATTTTGTGATAACTGGCTCATTAAGCCATACTTACTCTTTCTGAAGCAACAAATCTTTTCTGATTACATCAAATTCTTTGGCTAGCATTACATGGGGTTCTGGACGTAATCTCTTGTCTTTTTCTGTTGTCTTTTTCCCCTTGTCACTTTACTGCAAGTGAGCAAGTTCCTTCTTAAAATTGTCTTGCAGCAGTTGACAAATATATATGCTTGCTCAGTCCTTTACAGACAAGCTGAGTGCTCATACCACTAACTGAAGCTGAAGTAGATCTCGTCAAATTCAGTCATTCACATCACTGTTCTGACTTACAACTTAAGTCTTTCTGTTTGCTTTCCCCTCCCATCCATGCCTTTGCTAATGTTAAGTATTTTTCTCTGTAAATAGAAATTTTTGAATAAGATAAATTTATCTTGTGGTTAATTGAAATAAAGAGGATTAAAAGAATAACAGTAAAAATTTAAAAAAATGGTCTTTGTTACATGCTTAGTAATTACTGCAAAATCAAGTATTCTGTTGCTCTTTTTCCCCTGCCCTCCCCAGTCTAATATGCTTTTTTCTTTTCACATCTTGCTGTATTTCTTGCTTAATTAATCACAAATATTTTTTGTTTGGCTGGTTGGGGTTTTATTTTTTATTTAATTGGGGGGTTTTTTGTGTGTTTTGTTTTAGAAAAACTGTCTCATCTGCCTTGCAGGGATTGTTGTTTCTGGTTTTATTATTCTTTCCTGTAATCTTGCAGACTGACCAGGACAGCCCTTCTTGTATTACTACTTTTTGTGGCGTTGTCTTTGATAACATGAGGCCCACTTTTTTACGGAATACTGCTTTGAAACGTAAGGATGCCTTTCAAAAAAAAAAAAGTAACCAAAATCTGTGGATCAAAAACAAAGAAACAAACAAAAACCAACAAAAAAAGCAATAAACCAGTGTGGTTTTATCCCTAGATGTTAACATCTCGGTTATGCATCCTATAATGCCGTGACTGTTTTAATTTACATAACAGTATTTCGTATTCAGACGAATCTGTGTCCCATAATAATTGTATAATTTAACAGAAGTATGCAACTTAACTCCTGAGTGTTTTTCTTGTTATTTTATACTACTTTAATATACAAAATAACTGCAGCTATGAAGTGCCATGTTTAGTATATTAACTAAACACTTGTTTTGATTCTTTTTTACAGAGTGGGAAAAAAGGGAAAAGGTGCTCAGAATCTGACCAGTGCAAGTGATCTCTTCTGCCACTAGATTCAAAGCAAAAAAACTTCAAATCTTTCTTCAGGGTTTTGCAGAAGTTTATATATTTGTTGTAAAACTGCTCAAATATGCAGTTTTTGAAGTGAAATTAACAATTACTAGTTTGTTTAGCAGTCTGAATAATTGATTTGTTGCACTTTCTGCTATAGAAAAAATAGTATTCCAGCAGAGCTGAAACCAACTGTAATGTCATTAGTTTTTCATTATTCAATAAAATTTACTCTTCCATTTCTGTGTTTGAATTCTTGCTTTCACATAATTTCTCAATTAAGAAGATTCTATTTAATGACTATCAAGATCCAAATGCATTAGTATGCAAATGGTCAAAGTTTCACCAGGTCAAAACTGAAAATGGGACAGCTCATGCAAAAGCATCTTGCTGTTGCTGAATCCAGATCTGTTAAGAAAACAGAAGTCAACAGTTATTATTTCCTCTCCCTGTATAGGAGGTTCAACAAGGCCAAGTACAAGGTCCTGCAACTGGGTCGGGGCAACCCCCGGTATCAATACAGGCTGGGGGATGAGGGGATTGAGAGCAGCCCTGCTGAGAAGGACTTAGGGGTAGTGGTGGATGAAAAGCTGGACATGAGCCAGCAATGTGCGCTCGCAGCCCAGAAAGCCAACCGTATCCTGGGCTGCATCAAAAGCAGCGTGGCCAGCAAGTCAAGGGAGGTGATTCTGACTCTCTACTCTACTCTGGTGAGACCCCACCTGGAGTACTGCGTCCACTCTGTAGTTCTTAGCACAAGAAAGACATGGACCTGTTGGAGCGGGTCCAGAGGAGGGCCACGAAAATGATCAGGGGGATGGAACACCTCTCCTATGAAGAAAGGCTGAGAGAGTTGTGGTTATTCAGCCTGGAGAAGAAAAGGCTCTGGGGAGACCTTATTGCAGCCTTTCAATACTTAAAGGGGGCTTATAAGAAAGATGGGGACAGACTTTTTAGCAGGGCCTATAGTGACAGGACAAGGGGGAATGGTTTTAAACTGAAAGTGGGTAGATTTACATTGGACATAAGGAAGAAATTTTTTACAATGAGTGTGGTGTGGCACAGGAACAGGTTGCCCAGAGAGGTGGTAGATGCCCCATCCCTGGAAACATTCAAGGTCACATTGGATGCGGCTCTGAGCAACCTGATGTAGTTGAAGATGTCCCTGCCCATGGCAGCGGGTGGACTTACATGATCTTTGAAAGGTCCCTTCCAACCCAAACCATTTTGTGATTCTATGATCTGTATCCTTTTCATACCTACATGGGTTTCAGCTGCAAAATGTAGAAGCTGACATGTGCAACTACCATGTAAAAAGAGCTTTCCTACCTGTTAGCTTTGAAAAGTGCCCTGTGTCACTCTTCAGAGCTTGTCTAGTAATAAACAATTCCTCTTGTGCTAAGAAACAAAATTCAAACTTTTTTTTTTTTTGTCCCACGTTAAATGTTAGTGAATGCAATATGGCTCTAAAATTGCAGATTTTTTTGTGCAGCACTGAATGTAGTACTAAATCCTGAGATCTTACTTATTTTGGGATAGTTGTTGAAGTGGAACATTACAGAAGTACGAGTAGGAGCTGGCTGACTAGAAGCAGATTAGAAAATGTCTGTCAGTTACCTGGGAAATCAGCAGAGAACAC